GGTTAAAAATGGTTCCCTGCAAGCCCACGTAAACAAGATGCGAGGTTACTGGCAACCACAAGAGAACATGAGCCTTCGGCTTACCAGACAGTGTTATTCTAGACCGTATCTTCGCTAGTTAACCGTGATTCTACGGTGGTATAGCCAGTATTGTTGTTCAGGCAGAGCAACTCTCATCGACCGCGAATCGTATGATGGATGCAGACTTTCAAGAGACAAGCAATGTATACTTAGTAACGGAAGTTGGTGCAGACCGTGAAGAATTGACTACTGGAGTTAAAACGATCCAAGTGATTGAATGGCGCGAGTTGTCCAGTTCGTGTACTCTTCGCCTGGATCACCGAATTGTCATCCCGGTGCGCAGCGATTGCCGCAGACGCTTTAGTATTGAACAGAAGAACAGCAAGGTTAATTTTGATAGTTTCGTTAATGCAGACGGGTCCCAAACTGCCGTCTGGTTTATTATCGAAGTCGTCGCTTCTAGGTCGAACCACAAGACAGCTATAGCACTGGTTATCTTATTACTGACGGGTCATTCTTGCTTTACCATAAGGTTGTGACCATTTTAAGTGAAGGATTTGCCAAACCCGTTCTTAGCCACACTTTGATAGCACACACCACTGCCTTTCCACGGTCGCTTATTCGTCATAGCTGATTTCCATATCTGGTTATCGTTCCCTTACCTACAACCTGGCTGCCAGATGGTCGTCTGCAGACAGGCTCACTAACTGTACTTTAAACCTTGGATGGATACCTGAACCACTATATAGTACTAGCTTTTACTAAACTATCAATACGAGGCAGGATATAGGTAATTTATTCACTTTCACTATCATACTGTCAGAGGTTTCAGTTTTTTCAACTCACCAGAAGTTTAAACAGGTTGTCACTGAAAATATCTTAGAAAATGCAGTCCAAAAAATTGTCACAAGCTCAGTTGCGGTCTGTGCTCATATCATGCATGTTGAGAAAGAACCACTGCTAAGCAATTTGCTTAATTTTATGGCGTACGTGAAGTAGTGACCTACTTGTTCAATATTGTGAAAGTGAGTGACATTCTTGTGGACTACATGTTCGTGCGGTTTTATGTCTTTTCGCATGGCGACAATTTTGGCATTTTATCTTTTCCAGGAACGACCAATGTCGCTAAAAAGTTGGTGAAACTAGCAACAAAGGAAAGCTCACTGAGAGTTATAAATCAGCCACAAACGTGGTCTGTCGATGCTGCTTTGAATTCTGAGATGGTCATCTTAATCGAAGATATGCGACAGGGCAGAGACTCCAGAAATTATATCAGAGAAGATCAGGAAGGTCGACAATCAAATAATGACAGCGTACCCATGTTACGTGGTCCCCTAGATCACTCCAAGCTTTCGCTGACAACGACTGAAAGCCATAAGATATTGGATTTTCCGCCATGCAGTGCCATCGTCGATGATGCAAACGACACCGCTCACGATGCACGTATAACGGGGCTGGAAGAAAATGAAGAGTCAGCGTCTGTTCAGGGTGTGCGTAAGGCGTTGACAATATTCGATGAAGGTCAGGAACAGCGAAGTTCAGAATTCGATGGTCTAAAATACGATGAAATCGCCACTGAACCGCCAACGTCCGTCGCACCGGTAACTGACACCGACCAGTTGACGCCTACTGCAATTAGAGCAGCGTTCGCTATGGTCAGTAACGGCTTGACCCAGTGCCTGTCGGTCACATTCCCGATGTCGCAGCTAAATCAGTTGTTAGTGGAATGGACTGAATTGTTCGAATTAACCAAAAAGGTTGATCAGCACTTTCGTCGCATCAAAGATGATCTCGACAAAGATATCGATTAATATGTGCCTGTGCCTGAAACATTCCCGTTGTGCATATATGTAACAATTAGATCATACGCACTGCTTAATAGTCTAGTTTTGCGAATGCTTGTTCAGTTGCTTACATATGTTTGATATATATGTTACTTCTGCTTAGATTTTCTCTTTCTTAGTATTTGTGAAAAATCACTTCCCTTACCGATTTCACAGTGCTGGAAGTTTTCCAGTTTATAGTCGCTTTGACAGGAGGCAAGATCGTTTTTAAAGAACCTCAGTACCGTATTCTGTCAGTTTGCAGCGACAGAATCGAGCAACAGTGAGGATACAGTCGATCAATGAAAGGCAGATAGCAGAATCGAAGGTATTATTTGACGAAGGAGCGAGCGTGTGAAAATGCATAATGTGAACTATATACATTGTGTTAATATCGTCCATAAAGTTACATATATGTACAAACAAAACGATAAATTTCAAAGCAATACAATGAGAAAGAGACGACAACAAATACAGTCCGATTCTTGCAGGATAGAATATCTATTTCATACAGGATGATGGAACGATTGAACAGCACGCTCGGTTCATAGTTCGTATACAAAGCGAAGCATACGTTTTTGGTGCTGCTGCTCCCATATTCAGATCAGTTCAGCGTAGTTTGACGGAAATAAGCCTTCTTTACCAAGAAGACTTCCATTCCACCACCCGGATGCATCTAAATCGAATTGTAAATCAAGGTGATCGTTCAGAGCACAGAGAAGAAATCAAGCCAGCAACCTAAATTTTCTGATCGAGTGATCGTGGTGGCTTTGTTTTCTAAACTGGGCAACTGCACACCAAAGTCACTTTCGAAGCACTTATCTTGGGCATACAACTAATCAAGTTCGGCAAAGCACGATGAGCAGTTTTCTTTAACCAGTACAGCTGCAGTCACAGACTCTGGTAGATGTAGTGGGAGCTAAAGATGAGTGCATATCAGCTGTTCATCCTGACACTGGGTAGTACCATCTACCTTTTTCTCGCCACGGGTAGACGCTATATAGACACGAATGGGCGGAACAATACTGACGACAAGCGGGTAGCTTATAAAGCACCCAGAACTCATGCTGTTCATAGAAAAGTATTGATGAAGATAGGTACAGGAACCTCTATCATTCATTTTCCTCCCTGAACACCAACTGAACACGTGTTTCACAAACCTCAGGGTGTTTATGAAAGTTTAAAAATTATTACTGAACCAGACGACACAGGAGCGACTAGAAAACCCAACGGATCGTATATGAGCACAGCGAGTCCCATGTAACGGACGAAGAGGAAACAGGAGAAACTAATATGCAATCTGTAATGCGAAAATACTGAGATTAAAATCTGTAATGTGACATTTACAAAGAAGTAGGAATTACACAGGAGCCTTTGTGCAGCATGAAGGAGAATTAACTGCCTGAACAATTAAAAGATTTTATTCGTACTTCGCTGCGGGACGAGAATTCACCGACCATTCGAATATTAAATACGTCGAAAGAGGGGGCGTTAAATTAGGTAATTGCTTAACGCAGAAATCCTGACTTAATCATGGTTTCCGGTTAAATTCACAAGCTTACTTTGTTCTTTAACATCGATGATGTCACCCGCATGGAAACTTAACTCGTCGCCGTGCTGCGCTTTGTAATCGTAGAGCATGCGACATCTGGTCAACGGTTTGGGAGGTAGTCCAGGTCGAGGAGGAAGGGGAGGTCGTTTTACTTTAGTTTGCGCAACTTCGCCGTTGCATCTGAAAATGTAAACGACCGTCATTCGCGAATGATGCTGGTTGTTACAGGCTCTGAAAACCGTCCGAACGTTACCTTTCATCGTCTGCACTGGCTGTACGAAACTTTTCAATGTGGCACTCAAGCTGTGACCGAAAGTCGCCGCCATTCGGCACCGGCGGCGCTGCCCTTTTCACCTTCGGCACGTTCTTTGATGGTACTACCGGCTTATGCGAAACTTCGCCATTGGGTAAATGCTGTATCCGCTG